GCATAGACTCATGCAATTTTTTAATTGAATGAAAGATGTTTTAAATTCTTTACAATTTTCAGGTTTCATACATGATTTCATATAATCCCATACTAACCCTTCCCCGCTAACCCCTGTATCGCACCTCTCCCCTTCCCTGTCTCCACTGGTAACCACTAGTTTGTTGTTCATATTTGTGTAGGCTCATAAATTGTGATGTGCAGGACCCAGGAAAGAGAAAAGGGTGTGAAGGACTTTATTCCAGATGGTTGGGTGTGTGAAAAGACTTCCACTCCTCTTAGAAAATGCAATAATCGCAACTTTTACAGAGCATGCTGGATTTTCAGGCATTTTTTTAAAATAAGCATTTTATTTTAGAACAATTGCAGATATACAGAATTTACTGAAGCAATAGTACAGAGTGTTCCCACTATACCCCACATCCAGTTTCCCTATTACTAACATCTTACATTGTACCGTGCACATATCACAATTAATGAACTAACATTGACATATTTGGAGGAGGAAATGGCAACCCACTGGAGTATTCTTGCCTGGAGAATCCCATGACAGAGGAGCCTGGCAGGCTACACTCCATGCAGTTGCAAAGAGTAGGACACAGCTGAGTGACTGAGCACGCGTTGATATATTAGTAACAACATACTTCCTCCTTATTTCCTCCGTCTTTCCGTGATGCCTCTATTCTGTTCCAGGATCCCGCTCATGACACCATGTTACATTTAGTCGTCACATCACCTTAGGTTCCTCTTGACAGTGAACATCCCTCAGACTTTCCTTGTTTTCGATGACATTTTTGAGGAGTGTTTTTAAAATGCCCCATGACTGGAATTTATCTGATGGGTTTCACATCGTTCGACTGGGGTTATGGGTTTAGGGGAGGAGGTAAATGCCATTGTCATCAAATCAAGGCTACACATTATCCACACAACTTATCATTGCTGACACTGACCTTGATCACTTGAATGAGTTGCGTTTGTCAGGTTTCTTCACTGAAAAGTTACTCCTTTTTTTCTCCCACCCCCTTCCTATACTGTCCTTTTTAGGAGGAAATCACTATTTAGGAAGTCCTTTTTAGGAGGCAGCCCACATCTAGGGAATAAGTCATGCCCAGTCTCCTCAAGGGCAGAATATCCACCTAAATTATTTGGAAGTCTTCTGCACAGGAGATTTGCCTATTCGCCAAATGTTATGCATTTTTACCAATATTTTTATGCTGGGTCTTTTTACTTTTTACAAATTCAAGAACCCTATTGGTGTTTCTAGAAACCTAGGAATATCTTCGGAGAAGGCAATGGCACCCCACTTCAGTACGCTTGCCTGGAAAATTCCATGGATGGAGGAGCCTGGTAGGCTGCAATCCATTGGATCCCTAAGAGTCGGACACGACTGAGCGACTTCCTTTCACTTTTCCCTTTCATGCATTGGAGAAGGAAGTGGCAACCCACTCCAGTGTTCTTGCCTGGAGAATCCCAGGGACAGAGGAGCCTGGTGGGCTTCCGTCTATGGGGTCGCACAGAGTCGGACACGACTGAAGTGACTTAGCAGCAGCAGCAGCAGGAATATCTTACCTTCAATTACTAAGATGCATGAAATTATGAAAGCATTAAATTAAAGGGTAGGAAAAAAGCCAATGATTATTTTTGTTTTTTCTATTGTGGATACATATTAACAAAAGATTTGGGAAATATCCAAAACAGAAGAACCTCTCTAGTCCTACTGCTAGGAGCTGACCATTATTCCCATTCAATTTATTATTTTTAATTTTTCCTCTGTGTCTAATTTGTACACAGATTATACTATGTAATTTTGTTTCTTACCTCCTTCCACCTTTTTCTTTTTGCTTCTTATCATATCAAAAACATTTCTCCTATATTGCTATATGGACTTCATAATCATATTTTTTTCAGTAGCTGCTAAATATCCCCTCATGTGGCTCTTGGTGTCCCCCACCACCACCAAACTATAGCTGTGTGCCTGGCATATAGTCAGTGTTTAGAAATTACTTGTTAAATGAATGAATGTACAACAAAGTAATCATCCTCTTGTTTTAGAAGCGTGTGTTATTTCAGTTTTCTTGATTCTAAATAGTACTGGGACAAATAGATTATTCCCTCAGGATAACATCTCAGAGTGGAATTACTGGGCCAGTGGGGGCCAAAACTTTTCAAGATAAATGCACCAAACCAGAAATCTCCCTCTCCTTCCTCTGAACCACCAGCAATTGTGCGGAGGGTAATAATTTACAATTGATTAAAGAGTTTGTGGGGTGTTTTTCCCCCATCTTTCTCTCCCCTCCTCTCCCCCTCTCCTCCTACCAAAAAAAAGGGGGAGGCGGAAATTATCCGAGAAGGTGAAGATGTTCTCAGACAATCATATTAACATATTCCAACAATCGCAATTTGCAAAATAGTAATCACAACTCCCGGGATCGGGGAGGCATTAATCAAAGCTGCAGGTTTAATTCCATTTTAAATATTGATGAAATGTGCTTCGGCAGCCTCACCCTGGTGTGGCAGGGCCAGGGGAGCCGCCTCGAGGCGCCAGGGAGGTGGAGGGAGGGTTGGGGAGCAGCTGCTGGGAGGAGAGGCTTCTGTGATTCAAATTGGTGGCTGAGCGGCCAGGTAGAGAGTGAAAGGGGTAGTGAAGAGGGCTGTTAAGTCCATTGCTGTCAATGTGTAACGATCAGGGAGGGGCCGGAGGACTGGTTCAGCACAATAAACCCCGTTGGTCTGGTTTCAGGGTTACCGCTGAAGAGGTTGCAGCTGCGCTGATTCGAATAGCCTGGAGACTTCAGAACTGTAATTATCAACCAGGCTGCTTGCGGTGTGGCAAAAGTGGGCTTCACCAGCGCTTAACTCCTTGTGTGCCGCGCTCTCTCCGCCCCCACCCCCGGGGGGTTGGCAGCCACGCGCGGATTCCCCGGCAGCCTCCCCAGGGGACACTGAGACCCGCTGGCTGTCGAGGGCAGTCTTCCCAGGCCAGAGCTTGCAGGCGGCGAGCCTTTGTCCTGAGGCCACAGACAGAGATCTAGTGGGGCTGGGGGACAGAGGAGGCTTGCTCCATGGGGGCAGACTCGCCTTCTGGCACCTTCAGGCCTGCCCTGGGGTGGAAAGTCGGGCTTCAGGGTCTGATGAGTCTTGGCTTAAATTCCACTGGCCGTGGATACAAGGCAAGGCTTGTCCTCTATAAAATGGGGCAATCTCCCCTAGCTAATTTGCTTTAGTCGTGTCCGATTCTTTGCAAGTCTATAGCCTGTAGCCCATCAGGTTCTTCTGTCCATGAGATTTTCCACACAAGAATACTGGAGTGGGTTGCCATGCTTTCCTCCAGGGGTTCTTCCCTACCCAGGGATCTAACCCATGTGTCTTAGGTCTCCCGCATTGGCAGCCTGGTTTTTTACCACTAGCGCCACCTGGGAAGCCTCCTACCCTACTGGGGTCTCGCAAAAGACTCAGTGAGACCCGGCATTTGTAAAGCTCAGAGCACACAGTAAGCTGATAAAAAGTCTTGTCTCCCTGGCTCCTGGACCAGAAGAGGAAGAGGGTTCCTGGCAGGAGGCTGTAGTATGCAGGGCAGGATTTCTGCGGGATTTCCCATGTTTTAGCTCTCAAGGAGTGTGTTTTATCTCCAGCTTCTGCCATTTGTCACCCAAGTGTTGCTCAGTCGTGCCCGACTCTGCCACCCCATGGACCGTAACCCACCAGGCTCCTCTGTCCATGGGATTCTCGCCCAAGGAGGATGAGTAATTCCATCCTCCCATCTCTTAGGTGGGAAGCACTGAGCTAGACACAGGGTGAGGACAGGAGGCAAGACAGGAAGTCAGGGATTGGGGCCTGTCCTCTTTGTCCCCAGGAAGCAGGCAGGAACAAGGGAGGCAGGCAATGCGGTGCTGGGGAAAAGAAAAACAAACACGGGCTTTGCTGAGAGTCCTGGTGAATGGAGTTATGTGCACGACTCCGTGACCCTCCTCCTGGAATACAGCCCCAGAGAAAGTCTCCACGGACCCACCAAGGGAAGTGCCCAAGAACACAGCATCTGTCCCAGCATCATTCCTGGTATGGGAGGTGGAGGCATCCTTCGTGCCCACCCAGGGAGGATGAGTAGCCAGAAGCCCAGCATGGAATATTAGGCAGTGGTCAGGAGCAAAGAACGAGATGTCCACATCGCAACGAGAACAGATCTTGAAAATGTCGTGTTGAGTGAAGGAAAAAAAAAAAGTGAGACACAATGAAACTCACAGCACAATGACATTTGTGTAAATTAAAACCACATTCGCACACAAAACAGCAGGATATATTTTACAGAGTTACATGCGTTTTTAGGGGTACATATCCCACCATTGGAGTGGGTCTCTAGTCGTGGTGAGAGGAGGGGCTGGGTGTGGGTTTAGAGGATAAGGGGGAAAAATGAAAATAGAGTCAGTCTGCAGAGGGGCCTGGCACAGAGAGATGCTGGTCGTGTGCTAAGGTCCCTGCTCCACTTTCTCTCTCCCTCTCTCTCTGAGGTTTCAAAACAGCACAGGCCTTGTATGCAGATAAGTTCCCGAGGCTCAAATTCTAGGCTCTCCCATGTGCTTACCCCATGACTGTGGACAGAAGACTGGTTCTCCGAGCCTATTGGTTTGTCCACAGAAAGGCATGATCCCGAGGATTGAGTTGAGGGAGATAAACACGTGTGGGCCTGCAGGGCCCCCAGCTTCTCCTCTCCACTCCCCACCGAAAGGACCCGAGCAAAGAGAAAGCGTCGGCCCTCTGGAGGAACCATGGTTTCTCTGAAGGGTCCAGAATGAAAAACCCAGAGAATAAGGCCTGGACCAGCGGTCGCAGGGGCGCCGTAAGTGGATGTCATACTGGGCAGGGACCCAGCTCAGAACAGCCCAACGATGCGCGCCTGCCTCCATCCGGTCAGCAACTTCCACCTCTGATACCACCCCAGTCCTGAAACCCTGCCTGGGGGGCTCCCAGGGCGAGGCATGACTGGCTCCCCCTCCTCCCTTACAGATGACGACGAGCATGAGTGGATCGTCCGGACGTGTCGGAAGGGCTGGGATGAGACCATGGGTCCCGAGCCCAAGTCGTAAGCGCTGTTGCCTCTTCCATCACAGGCTTCCTTCTGCCCACCCGGCCCTGGCTAGCTCAGGGTGGGGCAGGCTATAGTTCTAGGACCTGACTTTTGACTCTAGGAATAAAGGTTTTCTGCAGTCAGTGGCCCTGATTTCCTTAGACTATTCCTTGGGACGGGACCCTCATTCCACTTGTGTCAGAATCACCTCGGCAAAATTGTGAACTAGCGATGCTCAGCCCCACCCTAGAACCTGTTAATCAGAATCGCTGAGACTGGGGCCCAGCAATTTGCATTCTCAGCTATTTCTTACATGTATGGAAGTTTATAATGATAGATACATGTAATCGAATGAGCAATTCATAAGTGCAGGCAGAATGGGTATGTTACCTCAGCTCCTCCTAATAGCCTTATTTGTACAAGAGAGCTTAACGTCACCTTTACAGAGGAGGAATCTGAGGTTCAGGGAGATTTGACCTGCCTTCGGTCATACAGCATTTGAATCTGAGTCCCTCTGAAGATAAAGCCCAGCTTTATTACTTTTTTTTTTTTTTAGCCACAAGAAGCCTGCCTGATCAATCTTGATTTCAGAGAGCAGTAGGACAGGATGACTGTGCCCAGGTTCACAGCTGGTATCTTGTAAGCGCAGAAATGGTTGCCCACAACAGCTCCTCCCTCTCTGAAGCTTCCCTAGCTGGGTCTCATACCCTAAGCACAGAATCAGTATGGTGCCCCAGAAAGAATCCAGTGTTGGCATCATACACACCTGGGTTTGGATCCCAGCTCAATCACAGGTATCATACAACCTTGGGCAAGTCACTTCACATCTCTGAGTTTCAGATTCCTCATGTGTAAAATGGGTATGATGATGCTTAAACCCATAGGGTAGCTGTGTGGATTGAATGAAACAATACAAGGAGCTGGCACTTAGCAGGAATTCGGTATGTGCTTGTTTTAAAAAACTAATTTGTTAGCTGTGCGTACGGAGTAATTATTCTTCAGAATCACCCCCAGGGATCTTATGTGTCAGCTGAAAACCAGCAGAGGAAGTGGTAACATGTTCCAGGGCTATACTTGGGCCACAGGCATTCTGGATCTTCGCCTAGTTTTCCCACCTTAGAGACTGCTGGCTCCCGCACCTCCCTGCGCCTTGCCCCCTGGCTCACCAGGGGCTGCCCAGGAGAGGGGAGTCAGGCCTAGGAGGGCTCTGCCAAGGTCTACAGGGACAAGAACCTAGCTGTTTGAATTGGGGACCCATGAGTGGCATGCTGCTGCAGAGCCGGGGGTCAAGGGAGGTCTAGGCATGTTCAGCTAAGCCATGGAGGGGTGCGGGGGATGGGGAGAGATCAATCACCTTTCCCCTCCAAGGCAACAGTCACCTCAGGAGATAGGATGGATGGCCACCAGGGGATTCCAAAGTGTGTTTTGAAAATAGAAAGTACATTCATGTAAAGAAAGACACACAAACTTAAACTATGTTCAAAGATACACATATATCTAAATCAACATTTGATAACTGGATTGGAGGAGTGGAGAGGGAGGGAAGGGGAGGGGTCACGGGTGGAGCATGCAACAACTAAACAGAGGGGCCCTGCAGGGGTGAGGACCACGGCCACCCTGAGCCGAGGCTTATGAGTGACTGTTCCAGGCCACGAGGTGGGGGTGGGGCAAGGGCGGGGCGGGCCTGCTGGGCAGAGCCAGTCCACTCCCTTCCTGGTAAGCCTGGGCTTCCACAAACGGTTCTGCCGTTAAAAGAAAATTCAGCAACCAGCAGCAAGATGCCTGCTTCCCAGGTTACACGGTGGCTCTGGAACCCGACCAGGCCAGTTGTCACCCCTGTCTCCAGTCCGTATTCCCTTCACTCCACCCCATTTCCCAGTCAGGCTCCTCTAGGCTTCCGTCTCTGGCGTCCCAGCATCTCCTCTTGTGAACTTACCCCGTGAACTTCTCATCTGAGGATACAGCTCAAGTGCCCCCCTCCCCGAGTCCAGACAGCGCATGGGGAGGAGTCCGTCTATCTACAGCATTTGCCTGACTGAGGGCTTTTCCTGGGCCCTTTTCTGAGCCTGCAAGGTCAGCACGGGGCCCAGCAGAGTGTGGTCGGGAGTGAGGGGGAACACCAGCCAGCCTGATTCCCGGCACAGCACAGAGTAGAGAAGAAACCCACCATGATGCCTTTACCCTGCTCAGCCTCCTAGCTGGGAAACAGAACCAACCTTCTGGAAAGGGGCTTCACTGGCTAGCAGCCCTGCTACTCTGGGGGCCAGGCCTGAGCCTGATCCCTTCACCAGAGAACAGGAAAGAAATGGAATCCTGTTGTGCTCCGGAGGTCAGTGCCAGCACTTCTACTTGCATTAACTTTATTTATTACACAAATAAGACATTTACAAAGCACAACATGAAAGGTATGTAACAAAACAGACATTGGTTTTACAAAAAAGTGCTTACAATTTTTTTTCCGTGTATGTGTGTGTGTATTTTCCCCCTTTTGCTTTGTATTTAAATAAATAGTCCTGATGGCCTGTAGGTTCTCAGGCTGCTCTATCAGGCTAGTGGAGACATGTCTGAACCGCAACATGCTACAACCACGTGATCCACGCAAGGAACAGACCCTGGGGGGGAGGCTCAAGGCAGAGTGGGTACTAGGTGACCCTGGGCAGGACTCGGCTGGCCACTCACCACATGATGGTGCTTGGACTGCAATCACTGGGAGCAGAAATCAAAGGAAAGATTAGAGTTCCCCAACCACCAGGGATCGGGCCCAGCTGCTCCTGTTAACGTCAGCTCCGAGCACAGGGCTAAGCACACGTTATTCACTAGGTGAGTTCTGAACTGAGCTGCACCACCCGCATTCAGAGAGGTGCCTTCTCTTTGCCCTGAGTCAGCTGGAACTGTCTTTGAAAGCGAAAAGAAGCAGATTCCCTTCAGGGGCTGCACCCGGGCCCAGCCCTCCTCCAGATCCCAGAGCGAGAATGGCATATAAGTTTTCATCTTAAGTGCCAGCTTCAAGCATTTGGATTCCGAACCCTTATCCAGACTCAGCGAGATAGTGCTGCAGTCGATTATCGATGTCTGCCACGGGTGAAACCAGGGACAGCAGATACCTGTGTACCATGAACTTGCTTTCCCTGTCCTAGAGTCTCCTTCCCAAAGCAACATACCAGGTGAACCAAAGGAGGAAGGATGCCTTGGGCTGAAACATGCTTACTAGCAGCCTCTAGTGGGAAATGCATCAGGACACAAAGTAATTCTAAAATTACAGGATAAGTTGGGACAAATGGGTGTCCCCTGAAAACATAAATCATGGTCTTGTGTATCATGAGCCCTTTTGTTTTTGGGGGGAAGAGTAGCAGGGCGGGGTGGGTGTGAGCACAGCTGTCTGGTCCGCATTCTCAGAAGTAGGCGGGGCTGGCTCTGGGCAGGGTTGATGGAGAAGCCCAGCAGTGCCAGCTAGAACCCTGGGCTTGGCACACTCACTTAGCATCGGGACCCTCCTTCTATGCAGAGATGGGTCCAGAATGAATGCTCTGACTGCCCTTTCCCTGGGCTCCATTCCCTAATCCCTTCAGGAGATGCCCCCCCCCCCAAAAAAGATGTGGCCCAAGCACCCCCTCCCATCGGGAGTCAACAAGTAGCCAAGAAGCTCCCTAAGTGTAACCTGTCCAGACATTCAGAAATGTCGCCACACAGATCAAAAACCACCTCTGCTATGTCTCCCGCACATACGCTGGATAACTGGGGGAAAGTGGGGCCCCCAACACACACACCCCAAGTTTCCTCTTTCCTCTCCTTAAAATGGCTCATGCCCCTCCCAGCCCAGCATGCCAACTCCTTCTCCTGGGCCTCCAAACTAATGGGGGTCTTTGTTCCCCCCACCCCCTCCCTATCCCCCTGCCTCTTGGTCTGGGCAGGCCTCCATCTTTGCCCTATTGGGCCTCTCAGGGTTGGTCAGTGTCTCTTCTCTCCCTGAATTAACTTGACATAACCAGACAGATGGAAATGATAAAATTAGAACATAGCTTTCCTTTGGGGACATCCCATAAACACTGTAGAGTTTTCCAGACAAAAGCAACAGAGTGGATAACCCTGGGGGTTGTTGACTATTCAGAATTTGGAGATGGTTCCAAGGAAGTAGTAAAGGCCAACACGGGAGGAAAGAAAACCTGTAAATTGGAAGGCTGTTGGCGTCGCACAATTCAATTCGGCTTTTTGCTATTGTGATCAGCTTAAGTTGAAGAGGACGACTCCTGACTAAATGGGAAACACAGGCTGTTGTTTTCACCCTGGCTCCAAGTATCAGGGAGCTCTAGCTTTCCTGGAGGAGGGCTCCGCATGCTCCTGGTGGGTTCTGGTTCTCAGCAGGAGACAGGGAGGCCGGGCCCAGGGGCCCAGCTGGTGGCGGGCAGGATGGCAGACGAGGGGTGGACGCGGAGCGGGTGATCCCTGGCAGCGGCTCGGACTCCGGGTTTCAGAGGCTGAGGGACAGCTGCAGGTCGCCCATGGACAGATGCGGAAGTGCCGGCAGCGTCAGTACTGAAAAAGGATGACCTGCAAGAGGAGGGCGTGGGAAGGGGCTAAGCCAGGGTCGGCGCCAGCTGGCAGCCCCCCAGAGGTCCTCAAAGGCCTGGAGAAGGAGGGGGACCCAGGGCCCACATCTGAGTTCAAATCCTGGCTCAGTCGCTTGCTGTGCAACCTTGGGCAACTCACTTCACCTCTCCGAACCTGTTTCCTCATCTGTCAAACAGGGATGAGCACACCTCTCTCCCTCTCTCTCTCAAATGGGGAGGAATCAGGAAGATTCAAGAGCAGAATTCAAGATTCAAGAACAGCAGCTAGCACCTCCTGGGCAAACTTCCTGGCACTGGGTATAGTGCACACGGGCGTGATTTCACAGAGCCTGGCCTTAACCCCACTAGGGTGCCCTGACACCATCTCTTTTTTACAGGGGAGGCACTGGGGCCAGAGAGGTGAAAATCCAAGAGCCTGGGGTCACCCAGCCCAGAAGAGGTGGACCCAGCACGGCAACCCCAGCCTGGCTCTAGAATAAGCTCTGCTCGTTAGACCCACTGCCTCTTCCTCTCCAGGCCACCCTGAAAGTCACCAAAGGTGCCTACCAAGTACCAGGCGACGGGCCAAGCCCTTCATGTATCCAAGCACTTGAGAGGCAGGTGGCTGAGACACGCCAGGTGCCTGACACACAGAGGGTGGTCAGGGACAGACTGCCTCCTCGCCCCATCTCCCACCTAAGATGCCTGGCTGACCTCCTACTGTCACCAGCACCCCCAACCCCCGAAGGTTCAGGTCAAGGATTATTGGCTATCTGGCCAATGGGATGTGCCTTTTGACAGTCCGGTGCCAGGAGGAGGTTTCAGGTGGGCAGAGGACGTCCAGTGGGCGTGGCCACATGGCTGTTCCATTTTTCAATCAAGAATGTTAACGGCCCAGGTCGGTTTCCATGAGGAGGAGATGGAAAAAAGCAATGGTGATGCTCACCATAAGAGCCATCGTAATAATAACCAACACACATGGAGCACTTTCTGCACACCGGGTGTTGTGCTAGGCACTGTACATATATAATCGCATTTGCTTTCAGCAACAACCTTGCATGGTAGGAACGATTATTGTCCCCATTTTGTGGATGCTGGAACTGAGACTCAGAGAAACTGTGTTCCCAAGTCCCAAAGGGAGAAGGTGGCCGAGTTGGGGTTTGGTCTGCCTGACTCTGGAGCTCACCCCCACCTTAGACTGCTCTCCTGTAGTCTCTGGGTTGCCTACCTGGCTTTGGGCTCTTCCTAATAGAAGCTCTCTCCAGAGGGAGGACCCTGCCTGTCCATGAGCTTCCGTCTCTCTATCTGAACAATGACGGCTGGGCCCTGATTTCTAAGAATTTTCCCAGCTCTGTGTGGGATCAGGAGCCATGACTGGGAAGAAATGTTGGTTCTGGAAACTCACAGGGATAAGCAGTCCAATGACAACATGGCAGAGGCACAGGATGCTACCCCGATGCTCAGAGTACTGTTCTCTGGGCCAGGCCAGTGCTGGTCTTGAGTGGGTTTGGGGGGGCTGCCCCAGGGGGCCCTGAATCTCCTCCTCACCAGACTGGATCAGGCCCGGAAGGATTTGGAAGAAAGTCCACAGGGTTTTGCACTGCCTGGACACACACAGTCTGCCAGGCCCCAGGGGTTTGGCAAGATGTGGACAGAAAAGGTTCCTGGGAGCTGGCAGGAAGGTCTGACAGTGAGAGGGCGGAAGGTCATGAGGAGGGGGAAATATTTTTCTGTAGAGTTGCTGGACGTGAAGCTAGGGCTCTGGGCCAGCAAGAGAGAACTGTGGCACAGCAGCCAATCCCAGGGACCAGAAACCTTCCCCATCCAAAAGCTGCCAGACCCCCAGACTGGCTCATCCTTCAGGCTGAACCAGACATAACCACAGGCTTAGCTGAGAAACCAGGAGACAAGGGCTCATCTCCAAGTGCTGAGCCCTGAGCTAATGCCTTCCAAAGATCCCCTCTGACCCCCAATAATGCCCAGGCCCTTTGCTTGAAGGAACAGGGCCCTCATTATGTAACCCCTCTGGTGGTTCCCCCCACTTCCCTGGGCCCCCGCCACACTAAGCCCTCTGCTGTCCCCCCAGTTCTTCCAAATCTCTATGCCTTGGAAGGGACTCCACACGTCCCCTGCCTCTCCCCTGGAGCTGGCCATTCTGTCTTCTGGGTCCTCAAAGATCCACGGTCATCCCTTATCCTCAACTGCCCTGGGGTGTAGCTGCCCACCTCCTGCTCTAAGCTACCCTGAGGACAGGGACTGTGCCAGCTTGCCTCTGAGTCCCAGTGTAGGGTGTGACATGACGAATGCTCTCCTGCAGGCCGGGAGGCAACTAGCCCTAGGATCAAGGCCAGCTGTACCCACACTTGCTGTGTGTCTCTGGGTGAGCTGCTGCTCTGGCTGAGCCCATGCATGCAGAGGTGAGTTGGAGTCAACCACAATCTTCCTCCCAGGGAGGCTGTGAAGGGTGAGGTCAAAGAGAGCACCGTGCAGACTGTGAAGTGCGGCTCGGAAGCACATGATTACTGAACCAGGTGGACTTCAGATCCGAGGGGCTAGTTGCATCCCTGGACAAGTCGGGTCACCTCTCTGAGCCTCTGTTGCCTTATCTTTACCATGAGGATGCCATCCTCATATCCACAGGGTGATTGGGGGCATCAGACAACATATGTAAAGTGCCTGCCATGAACAAAGAAGAAGTTTACCCAAGGCAGCCCTTCCTGTGAGTGTGAGTCTCAGAGGGGATGTTCCTGGGGTGGAGTCACCCACCACTGGGGTCTCCAGAATTTGGGACTGCATGCGTCCTACCATTTACTTATAAACCTACTGGTCCTACTGGCTGACTGTACCTCTGCATCATCTGCTTTCCCCCATGGTGCCCAGCCCTCAGCCCAGCCCCACAGGTAGGTGCTTAATCAGGAGGTGGAGTAAGAGGGGCTGTCCTGGAAAGGCGGTCCCACTCCTGGCTGCCTGCCAGAATCATGGGGCTGGGTATGACACCCTGGGGTCTGCCCCAGCTCCCCAGAGGTGAGGCTGGGGAATCTGCCTCTCTAGGAGCTGCCCAAATGATGCTGAGGCATAGAAGACTGCACTCAGGCCTGGCCCTGTTTCTCCCCAAGCCCAGCACATCCTCTGACTCCCGGGGCTCCCTGTCTTTCCGAGGACCACTACAGTGATACTTCTAAAAGAGACCTCCAGGGCCCACCACAGTCCATGCGCCTCCACCTGGCAACCTGAGGGCTCCACCCCTCACTCTTATTCCTCCCAGGCTTGTGTGCCAGCAGCTCTGAATCGCTCTGGGTTCCCTGAGAGCCGTGGCGGCTCAAGCCTTCCCTACCGGACCCTGAGGCTCAGGCGTGCCTTCCTCCAGGAAGCCTTCCTGTGTCTCTCCTGAGCTGTGCCCCCACCCCCAGCTCCCTTGGGCCCAGCTGAATCATGCTGTGTCCTAACCATTGGCCTCCTCGAGGGCACGAACTACATTTCCTTCATCTCTGTGCTCCTGGCAACTGACTTGGGGCTCCTGGGCACAGCCTGTACCTAGCAAATGTCGGCTGAAGAACCGATTTTGTGAACGAACAAAGGCACAAGTTCTCATTCCGGCTCTGTGATCTTGAGCTACCTGGGCCTCATTTTCTAAAAGAAGGGGTTGTCTGAGAGCAGTGGCTTTCAAGGCTCACTGCGAGCTGTCTTGGAGCTGAGTGGGAGGTGGGGGCTCTACTCCCTCTGCAGTTTCATCCAGAGTGGCTCCCCACCGACCCCGTTTCATCTCCATCCTTCATTATGAGAAAGAACAAACAAATGGCTTCCTGGGCGTAAGAACAGAGCTTTCAGCCACTGGACTGGGTGACGTCCAAGCACCCTTCTGGGCGTCCAGTCCTACTGCTTGAGACAACCAGAGATCGGGTTCCACAAAGGAGGCCTTACCGGTTGACCAAGGGCCACTAGCTGGCCTGCTGTCCCTGGGCCCCACCAGCTCAGGATATTCACTCGCAACAGATAGAAACACAAAGGAGGAAGCAGGAGGAGGAACCCGTGAGATGGTGGGAGGCAGGGTGGTGTGTGATATAAGCCCTGCTCAGAGCTGCAATGTTTGAGCGAAGTAACTAAATCCATAAATCTGAAAAAGAGAAGGCCAGCCATGGTGGGGAGCCACCAGGGGGCTGGCCGTACACGCCGAACACACTGGCACCAGATCAAGGCACTGCATGGTGGGGCACAGGGGGGCCTGAGTGCCAGGCAGAGGGTGCCTGCTCAGTGACAAGAATCCTGCCAGAAACCCAATCCCGGCGGGGTGGCTCTGACCCACCCCACCCAGCCAGGCTCCATTTACCTTCTCCCCCCGGTTGGAGAGTGGTCCATCCATATCGGCTTTGAGGTGGACCGGGGGCGCGGTGTAAGGCAGCCGGCAGTGCACCTGCCCGCACTGTACCTGACCTGTGGACGAGAGGATGCCTTGGAGCCCATCCCCCAGTCTCCGTGCAGCATCCCACCAGCCCTGGGCTCGGTAGGCTGGCTCCCTGGGGCCATTTTCACCTCTGTCACTTACCAGTGGGATGCCCCTGGGCAAAATTTCAGTAGGGTTGGTTGCAATACCAACCTTTGGCTTCTGGGATCTTAGTTCCCTGACCAGGGATTAAACCCATGCCTTCTGCAATGGAAGCGCAGAGTCCTAACCACTGGACCACCAGGGAAGTCCTTGAAAGTCTTCATGAGCAATGAAGCTGTGTGTGATAACTGCCTATCGTGTGTGTGCTCAGTTGTGTCCTACTCTTTGCGACCCCACGGACTATAGCTCACGAGGCTTCTCTCTCCATGGAATTTTCCAGGCAAGAATACTGGAGTTGCCATTTCCTTCTATGGGGCATCTTCCTGACCCAGGGATCGCACCTGCATCTCTTGTGTCTCCTGTGTTAGCAGATAGATTCTTTACCAACTGTGCCACCTGGGAAGTGTAGTTGATGATAACTGTCTAACTCACCGATAAACACTCATAAATGAATATGTACATGCACCCCTATGTTCACAACAGCCAAGTCATGTAAACAACCTAAATGCCCATCAATAGATGAATGGATAAAGAAAATGTGGTACACATATATAATGGAATACTACTCAGCCATAAAAAGGAAGGAAATAATGCCATTTGCAGCAACATGAATAGACCTAGAGATCCTTATAATAAGTCAAGTCAGAAAGAGAAAGACAAACACCATATGATATCACTTATGTGTGGAATCTAAAATACGACACAAATGAACTTTTATGAAACAGAAACAGACTCACAGATATAGAGAACAGATTTGTGGTTGCCAAGCAGGGAGGTGGGAGAGGAATGGAGTGGGAATTTGGGGTTAGCAGATGCAAACTATTAGATACAGAATGGATAAACAAGGTCCTACTGTATAGCACAGGGAACTATATTCAACATTCTCTGACAAATCATAATGGGAAAGAATATTAAAAAACAATGTGTGTGTGTGTGTATATATATATATATATATAATAGAATCATTTCACTGTACAGCAGAAGTTAACACATTGTAAATCAACTATATTACAGTTAAAAAGTTTTAAAAAGAGAGAGAAAGAAATGAATATATACATTCAAGGCTGTACATTCCTACATTCAAGGCTCTACCCCATCCATTCGAGTCCTTCCTTGGTGCGTTGTACCTTCTTATCTCCCAGGTATCACCAGGGTTTTACCCCCCTCCCATAGAGGACTCTGTACTCATATGTCACCTTCTCTAGGATGCTCTCCCTGACTACCCTATTCACAACTGCCACCCAACACCAACACCTCCCCCTCTACCCTCCCTGCCTGTTTTCTCAGCTTTATTTTTCCTCCTTAGCACTTACCATCATCTGACTTACTTTATATTTTTATTGTTTATTTGATATTATCTGTCTTTGCCAGCTAGACTGCAACCTCTAATGAGGGCAGGAATTTTTTATTGTTTCTAGATTCTAGATCTTTGTGGATTTCCAGGACCTAGAATAAGGCATGACATCTAGTAGATACTCTTTAAGATTTTGCTGGATAAATCTCTATACCCTTTTCCAAGATCTAAAACTGGGAGGGGTAAGGCCATCCTTGGTCTGACCCAAATCTCTCATGCTTCCACCTCTTTACCACTACAGTGAAGCCTATGGCCTCACTCTTCTCAGAACTTCATCCTCTTTGGATGCAGGGGAAGGAGCCCTGTACAGAGACCTACAATTAATATGTAACAGGGCAAATCACTGTGCCTTTTTGAGCTACAGTTCCCTCATCTGGGGAAGATGGAGGAATTCTTAATATGGGGTGTTCGTAGGGCCCATGAACAGCCTGAGATTATGTGGAGAACTATATGCATATGTTTGCATTTCTGGAGTCTAGTTCCAAAGCTTTTTCATGAGATTCCAAGCTTGAAGTAAGTAAGTGTTAGTCGCTCAGTGGTGTCTGACTCTTTGCAACCCCACGGACTGCAGCCCACCAGGCTCCTCTGTCCGTGAGATTTTCCAGGCAAGGATACTGGAGTGGGTTGCCATTTCCTTCTCCAGGGGATCTTCCCAACCCAGGGATCGAACCCAGGTCTCCTGCACTGCAGGCAGATTCCTTACCAACTGAGCTACAAGGGAAGCCCAAGCTTGAAGGCTCTGGGAAACACAGGAACCTGTGAATTCAGTGAATGGCAAAGAAAATTTCTAAGGGGACCTTCAGTCTCGCATCAGGAGGCAGCACATTCAAACTCCCTTGACGCCTCCTGCCCCAAGCTGGGTTCACCTTGAGGGGAAGAGGAAAGGGCACTTCTGTCCTTTCTCTAGGTGTCCCTAGACCTGGCCAACAAACTATGTGGACGGAGTCCTGACATAGCTCCGGAGACCATGGCCCCACTCTCTGTGGGGTCACCTAGATCCGTTACCAACTTCCCAGCAAATGTTGGCTGGTGGCCCAGACTCCTGGTACCTAGAGAGCCCCTGGTGCTTGGCACCTTTAACAGATGAACTAGATTGTCAATGAGCTCTTTGCAGCTTGAACACATCATTGTTTAGAAAAGAAAGGGGGAAAAGAGTCCCTCCTACTGAGTAGATGGTACAGAAATGGAACAGAACAAAGAGACACTGGCAGACACTGCCACTCCCAACTGGCAGCCGGGTGCAGTAGGCAGGATTCTGCATTCGCAGCTCTGCATGCCAGAACCACCACCACCATCACAAGAGCAGCTAATACTTTTCCAGATTTACTAAATACTGAGGACATTAAGTCAATGATCTCATCTGATGCTCACAATACTGCTTTGAGATAGGTATTCTCCTTTTTAAAAAAGAGACTGGATTCTCATTGTCTTCATTTTTACAGATGAGGAAACTGGTATTCCAGGATAATAAGACAGTTGCCCAATGTCTCACAGCTTGTAAGTGACAGTGATGGGCTCTGAAGCCCCACAGTATGACACTAAAGCCCACATTTCATTATTAAAGAATCCTGGCTCCCACTAACTTACTGTGGACCATTGGTTTCCTCATCTGTGCAGTAAAACAGTGATGTTTAGAAACATCTGTCAAGATAGCGCCTGGCACATGGCAGGGACTCGCGACACAGCTGTGCTCTTCTCTGACCTCCCTTTTCTTTCTCTTTTACTTGAACCCAGAGAAGAGAGGGTTTGAACTTGTGGGTATGTTCTCACCATCTATCTTTCTGGCCATGCCCAGCTTTGAGGAAACAATCAATAGAAACAACCTCAAAGGGAAAGAAAATCTGTGACAAGCACCCGCTCAACAGCAAATTCATTAAATGTCCATCCTCCAGACATGCACAAGGCTACTCTCTCTGTCTCTCCCCCAGATTTCCACTCTTTGATCACTTCACCATGACCTGCCACCCCTCACCCACAGTGCTCAGTCCCCACTGACACACCTCTCCTCCCTCCTTTATTTGTTTATTGTCTCCCCTCCTCCCCATCCTGCCACCTGAGCCTCAGGAGTGCACAGGCTTTGGTCTGTTGTATCCCAGTGCTTGGAGTCCCCCAGGTGGAGCTAGGAGTAAAGAACCCGGCTGCTAATGCAGGAGACACAAGACATGTGGGTTCGATCCCTGGGTCAGGAAGATCCCCTGGAAAAGGAAATAGCAACCCATTCCAGTATGCTTGCCTGGAGAATCCCGTGGACAGAGGAGCCTGGCAGAATACAGTCCATGGGGTTGCAAAGAGTTGGACACAACTGATGAGACTTAGCACACAGGCATCCCCGTGCTTAGGGCACAGAAAGCACTCAAAAAACACTTACTGAACACATGAGTGGATCACTACCCTGTGAGGTAGCATCATTAATGTCCCAGTGTACAGATGAGGAAACAGGTTCTAGGAAGTCAGGTGATTTTGCCCTCGGCCTCAGCTGTGGGTACTCCTGTCACCCTGGCTCACTTCTGTGACCCAAACGCGTTCATGCCAGAACACTTGCTGCCTACACTTGGTTCCTCTGCTGCCTGCACTCCTATTTGCCCTCTCCTGGTGTCTCACTCACACACTTCTGCTCTCAGCAGGAGGAGAGGCGACATCTCCACACACTCCCATCCAGAATCCCGACTACAGGAATCACCACGATGAAAACCAAACAGCTCATCTCTCTGGTATTGTTTCCTGTCTTTCCCACCAGAATGCAGGCTCGCCCAGGGAAGGGACTTAACCCTTCTTGTTCTTTTTCTAGTCCTCGGTCCCTGGCACAGAGTGGGTGTTGAGAGAGTACTTTTTGAATGGCTTGCCTCTACGGAGGAGTCCAGCTCCACTGCGGCAGAGTTGGGAACTTAACTCCTCTCTCCCATCTCTAGGTCCCAGTGACTGAGGAACCCTCAGCTGCACTCACGAGTCGCAGCAAGGCCTCCTCACGCCTCCGCCACCCACGAGCGCTCGTCTATACCCGCTCTCCCACAAGCCGGGCGACCGGGGTGTCGCGGTCACTTACTCTCGATGTAGCCGTGCAGGGTGACCATGCGAGCCCGCTCGGGGCTGCTGAACGGGGAGTAGTGGATGTCGTCGGACAGGGCGGAGGGAAGGCGGGACGGCGGCGCCCCGGAAGGTGGCACGGGATGCTGCGGTGTGTGCTTTTTATGACGCGCTCGGCAGTTTTGAAACCACACCTGGAACGACAGCCTCAGCAGCCTCAGCCTCGCGGAAAAAGGCTGGACGCGCCGCCGCGGGACCCCAGGCGGGACTGCCTCGTCGCCCCCTGAGGAAGGGCGTCCACGTGTGCTCCCCGACCCACGGCTCAGCAGCCCGGCTACGCGCTCGAGGGCCCGCCCCCAGGCCCCTAGGCCCCGCCCCAGACCCGAAGGCCCCGCCCACCCCGGCCCCACCTGGATGACCCTTCGGCTGAGGCCCGTCATGTCCGCAAGCTTCTGCAGCGTCTGCGCGTCTGGGTTGTTGTCCTGCGCGAACTGCGCCTGCATAACCTGCCAGGCGCCGCGGGGCGGTGAGGCACGAGCCCGCCGAGGTCGCCAAGGCCCCGGCCCAATCAGAGGCTCCGGCCCGGAGGCCACGCCCCCAGGCAGCTACAGCCCCTCCCCGCCACCCGCGGGTCGGGCAGAGGGGAGGAGTCAGGAGGTCCTCTAAGCCCCGCCCACACCCGGCCACTCGCGGCCAGCCCCTGTACCTGCAACTGCTCGGCGGTGAACGATGTCCGGGCGCGCTTAGCCGGCTTGGGCTGACTGTCCTGTTCCGAGGGCACTGCCCCCTCCAACGTGAGGCCGTTCCCTGGGGGCGACAGAAGTGGCTGACCACGCGTCCCCATCTCTTCTAGTGGCAGCCTGGAAAGGACGGGGGTGGGGGGAGCTGGTCCCTGGAAGTGTCAGGAGCGGAGTTGGCTGGGAGCGGGGATCCCAGGGTTCTAAGCCCCTGAACTGTCTTTGGGGAAGGGGCTTCTACTTTTGAGCATCTGCTCAGTACCAGACGCTTCTCTTTGGGGGTGCCCTGTACTTCTCACAACCCTGAGGATTGGTGTCATTATCCCCGTGTTACGGCGGCGGAGGATACTGAGGTTCAGAGAGAAGGAAGTCCCAGCTCTGGACCTTTCGACTAGTATTCTGAAATCTGGCTGACTCTAGCATCCCAGTTTGGGCTCCCTCCTTGACATACTGGGGAAACCAAAGACTGATGGAGATGGGAAGCAGGCAGGTTACAGAACTGTGATCCTAATTTTGTAAAAAAAAAAAAAAAAAAAAAGATGGAAGCAAAAAGGTTGGAAGGATATACACCAAAGGCTTAGGAAGAGGCAGTGCAATTATGAAGACTCAATGTTTCTGCAGCTTCTGAAGTTTTTTCCAACAATCACATGTCATCACCTTCTTTAAGGTTTAATTTTGTTAACTGAATGTGTTATTCTCTTTCTACTTAACATTACTTTTTAAATCACACTAAATATATTCCTTTCTTTTAATATCTCATTTTTCTGAATGTAAAGGTTGTACATGCTCCTTATCAATAACTCAGAAAATTCAGATAAGCACAAAGAAGAAAATTGAAATCTCCAGAAACTCCACCATTATTCATAATTTTTTAACTAGGAACACTGTGTTGAAAGAAAGAAAGAACAAAACAAACACTCTGACATACATCCATAGAACAAAATCTGGGAAGATATACACTAAAATGTGAGGGGTGGTGGCATTTGGAGTGGTCTTTATTTTCTTCTTTTTGCTTAACCATCCTTTCTAAATTTTCTATAATGGACACATGAGTGTTTAAGTTTTACAAGTAAAGCAGTAGCCCAAACTGAAGGCTGGTCAGTAAAGGAGATCTGGCGTCATAAGCTTTCAAGTTCCCAGCATGGTAGGAGTCTGGAGTCAGCCTGGCTATGAGAGCTGGAATGTAACTGGCAAGGCTGTGGCTAGCGGTGGTCCTGGTTGGTCCAGGTATGGAAGGAGTCTGGAGTGACTGATGGTGTGGGGGAAACGCTGACTCCTGAACTTCCATCCCAGCTCCACAACTGACTTGCCCAGTTTACTTGAAGGTAAATTCAGAGCACCCCAGCTTCACTTGCTCCCCACCCAGACCCACTCAGCCCTGATCCTGGCAGGAGAAAGTGACGGCCCTGCTGTGGCCAAGCCTTCCCAGGTGGGCAGTGGTAAGGAATACACCTGTCAAAGCAGGAGATGTGGGTTTGACCTCTGGGTCAGGAAGATCCCCTGGAGTAGGAAATGGCAATCTACTCCAGTATTCTTGCCTGGAAAATTCCATGGATAATCAAGCCTGGTGGGCTACAGTCCATGTGGTCTCAGAGTCAGACATGACTGAGCAACTGACTGGAGCTGTGACCATGGCAAACAGCACTCTGGGGATTCCTGACTAGTCCTCTGACTGGAGATTGAGGCGGGGTGGTACATATTTCCTGAGAGGCACTGTGGATGGGGCAGACACTTTATGACAAACCCGGGAAGACCTGGGTTTTAGACCTGAGCCTAAGTGTCTTCGGAAATCTCAGTATCAAAGACAGAAGAGATTTAGGGATCTTCCTAGTCCAAGATCCCCTGAAAAAGGGAAGGGCTACCCACTCCAGTATTCTGGCCTGGAGAATTCCACGGACTATCCGTGGAGTCGCAGAGTCGGACACATTGAACAACTTTCACTTTCAGTAGTCCAATAACCATTTTCCACTAGGGAGAGTGAGACCCAGAAAGAAAAGGCAACTGTGTATGTCAGGGCAACCTGCCAAAAGCAAAACTGAAGTTGGGGTCTCTAGACTCTAAGGCTTTTCTCCTTACAGCCCAGAAGGAAAACCCCATCCCCAAACCTCTGGCTCCTAGCTGCTGGGGTGGGAGTTGGGAGGAGAGGGCTACATCAACTCTGGCTGACTGGCCCAAGCCTGGTTCCGGCAAAGGAGAGAGGATGAACCTCCAGGCCACCCAGAGCTATCCAAAGGCAGAGGAGGCTGCCCGTGATGAGAGTCACTGCTAGGGTTCATTGGGTGCTTCTCGGCTTTTCAGAACACCAGCCTCATCTATCTCTGAGGTGTCTTATCGTTAGCCCCATTTTACAGAGTAGGAAACAATTTGCAAGGACCAGCAGTGTGACTTCAGACTTGCAAACAAATGGTGGAGCCAGAAGGGCAAGGTCCGTGCGCAGCCCCACCCTCATGCTGCCCCCAGGTGATAAAGGGGGCGCCAGGATCTAGAGAATTGCGAGCAGTCCCTGGGGTGCTGAGGTGGCGTGGGGGTCAGAGAGGGCTGGGGGTGGGGAGGGGTAGGGGCGGGTTGGGTACCGTTCTCCGCGGCCCTCTTGAGGTTCTCGATCATGGTGTCGTAGTGAATACGGCAGAGCACCTTCTCCTCGACCAAGCCAAACTCCTCGCCTGTGGATAGCTGGCGCTTGCACGAGAAGCAGGCGAAACAGGCCAGGTGGTAGGCATTGCCGCGCGCCCGCCGGACCCAGTCGCTGGCGTAGATCTGTCGGCCACACCGGGCGCACTTGGTTCCGAATCGGCTGTGGGACAGGGCGGGGGAGGGGAAAGAAGGGATGGCGAGGCTCAGACCAGCCATCCACACCCCTGAGTCTCCGCCACGCCCGGTTCCCGAGGGACTTAACGCGTGCATTTCCCTTTGTCTGGATTCACCATCCCCTGCAGCCAAGTCCCACCTGGAAGGTGAGCTGGTGGGTGGTTTCTTACTTTCTTCTTGGTGCTTTTCTGAGTTTCCCAAATAGTCTACCATGATCACTGAATCTGTATATAACATTACTCCACTCAATAAAATATAGGGGAAATATAACAATAGTAATAATTTGGCAAATGTATGAGCACTTACCACTTGCCCAGCAAGATTCTAAGGGTTTTATGTTGATTGTCCCAATTAATTTTCATTTTTGCAAATGAGGAAAATGGGGACTAGATAGGTAAAGTAATGGGCACAAGGTCACACAGCTTGCAGGGAGAGAAGCCCTAGCCAGTGTGACTCTTGAGAAGAATAAACTGTAACCCAGCTGTAGAGAAATTTGAGAGTGTCTTGAAAGCATAGACAGATATGCACTTACTGGCTTTGTAACCCTGGACACAGTGTTTAGCTTCTCTGAGTTCTCATTTTCTTGCCCTGAGCTGAACAAGGTGACAACAGCAATGGTTAGTGCTATTGGTTTAGTAAGCAGCTATAGTCTCAGACTCCGGAGCCCTGTGTCATCCTAACAAGAGAGAAAAGCCCAGATCAAATGCCTCACTCTCTCTCAAAGTTTTCTTGATTCTGCCGCTTCCCCTTCGCCCTCCCACTTTGTGGTGTGGCTGCCTCCACTGCCACCGGACTGGGAGCCCCTCCAGGAAGCAGCAGACTCTGGTACACCCTGTTTTAGAAGTCAGCCCAAGGCCTGTCCCGGGAGCACCAGGGAAATTCTTTTCTTGAAGTAGATGACTCACCCAGTGACCCTGCGCTCACCCTCTGGTGCACACTCCTTTTCAGGGAATGGTGACCCCACTTATCCAGCCCCTCAAGCTTCGAAACCTAAATCAACCACTTCTCCTCAACCGAGCAACCAACAAATCATCAGACACTGTAGGTTCCATTTCCTAAGTATCTCTGGGACCCATCTCTTCCTCTCCACAGCCACCGCTGCCTTCCTAAGCCTTGCTCCCATCATGCACCTCTCACTGCCCATCTTTACATCTGTTTCCAGCATCACCCTGGCCAACTCAGCCTCCACAAAGTGGCTATAGGGAAGTTGCCAGCACGGATGCTTTATGCTGTCCCCTACCCAGCTTAAAGTCCTCTGGTGGCTCCACTCTACGCTCAGGATCTGGTCCAAGATCCTTGGAGTTGACAGAGCTCAACAGACCACATCCTCTCTTGGCTCATCTCCTCCCTAACCTTTCTAAAGATCCCTCACACCACACCCAAACAGGAGCCTGCGTCAGCCACGAAGAAGGTGGTCCCAGGTCTTATGACCCCTCTGAAGCACTCCCCACTCCCCAGGCTTTGGCACAGACTGTTTCCTCTTCCCACCGCGGACCTCCCACTCCTAGTTCCACGGCTCCCAGCACCACCTTCTCAGCACTGAACACATCGACTTGTAAAAGACGGGATTCTTGGCTCTCCCTTCCACCCCGGCATTCCTGGGAAAAGCTCTAGAAGATTTGCCTCTGTGTCCCCAGAGGCACATTTCCACCCAAAAGAGCACTGGGAAGCGCCTTGAGAGCGCGCAGGTACCAGCCCAGCAAATGCACTCTGGGTATAGCCTCGCCTGCCTTGGCAAACACAAGCAACTGCCGGTTGAACAAACGGTCTCTGTCTCGGGTTGAACTGAGTACAGGAGCGGAGGCCTCGGCCAGCACCGACTACAGGCCATGCCGCTCTCTTGGACAAGGTGTTCCAGGGAACCCTGTTAGCGGCCGCGGGGTTCGCTCAGGCCGCTCTGCGCGCCTTGGCCTAGTCAACCGTCCCTCAAACAGACAGAAATGGATTCCCACCCCGGAAATTCGGCTTCCCCAGCACAGTCCGCGGTCTCCGTTTCCAATCCTTCAGTAAAGAGGAGAGGAAATCGTTTTGCCCGTTTTAGTCTGCTCCCGCCCGAGGGGCGATTCCAAATTCCGCTGCCCGGCTCCGGACTAGGAGAATTTCCTGGCCTCTGAAAGGAAGAAAAAGGAAGGGCCAGCCGGGTGCAGAACCCTCGCTACGCTCCAAGGTTCTGGGCCGCAACTTTTTCCTCGCCGCAGCCATGTGAAGTGGGGACTCTGACACCCAATTTGCACACGTGGAATCGGAGGTTCAAGGCGGACAAGGGACTTGTCCAAGACGACACGGAGCGTGGAACACGGGTTGAGGTCCCTTCCGACGTGCAAAAAAAATCTCCTAGAACCTGCGGAAGCAGTGGGACTGGAGATGGGTAGAGTTGAAACCCTGTGGTATGAACAGGAAAGGGGCCTGGTTTGACTGCGTCGCATCCCCACTCCGAGCCTTGGGTCCGGGAAACTCCCTCGGGCAGGGCCTAGGGCCTCCGCAGTCTCGAGTAGAGAGAGCCTTAAACAGTCGGTACAGGAAGGTCCCGGCCTTGAGATGCAGGCGAGAGCTATTGCGTCTCCAGGAGGCGGTTTCCATGTTCCGGGATCGGTGCGCAGAACCAGAGTTCAAATTCCCGGATCCTGGCGCTTGCCTCTGCAGGGTTCGTCGTTTTCCGCCAGGACGCATCCAAGACTCCTCGAGCATCCCTGATCTTCCCGTTCCACGAGTCCGCGACGCCGCGCGCGTTCTGCGCCTCCGTTGGCCGCTCGCAGAGCCCTCACCCCCTTGCTCTGAGGCGGGAACCGCAGGCGACCTTTCAGCAACTTTATCGCCCTCCTCGTATCACCCCCAGTGCCGGGAGCTGTCCCAGCTCTAGGATCTCCCTGCGCGCGCCGTGTCTCCGCCCAGTCAATGAAACCATCCTCGCGTTTAAATCCTAGATGGGGATGGGGGTCATTTTGCAGTCTGGGATGCGTTTCGGGCCGCTCCTGAAGCGTGTCCCCCACCCGTGGAAGGTGACATAAACAAGGGGCACCAGGACGCTTGCGGATCCAGGCTCTGACAAACCGACAGACTCCTTTCCCAGGCGGGCAGCGAGGCCCGTGCCGCCGAATTCCGGAAGCAGCGAAATCGGCGGCAGAGACAACGAAACTTCAAGAAAGGGGTGTTCGGGAGCTGCGAAGGGAGCGCCAAAGGGACTAGGGGGCGCGGCCACTGCCCGCCTCCCCCCTGCGTTGTGCGCGCCCCTCCCTGGGTCCCCGCGCGCGCCGCGGGGCAAAGGCGCAAAGCACAGAGGCGCTTTGGGAATGGAGAGGTGTCGGAGGTAGGAAGCACAGCCTGGCAGCTGCTGCAAGGAGCGGAGTGGGCGCCGCGCACCGCCTTGCCCTCTCTCCACGCCAGCGGAGAACGCAGACATCTGGGTACTCGTGGCTTTGCGGAGGGAGCTGTGCGCCAGGGACGGAAGCAGGCTAGCTCTCTCTGCCTGCCTTTCCTGGATACCGAGTAGGAGCCCAGCAGTTATTTGTTGCGTGAATGAGCCTCAACGGAAGAGCCCATCGGAGTTTCACTACGACTCTGGTCCCCATTGCTAAGCTACCCCTTTTCTGGAAACCGGAGCTCAGAGGGCGGGGCGGGGGGGGGGCACTGTTAAGAAGCTAGTGAGACAAGGCGCTGACACTCAAAAGCAGTGTTCTCTTGCTTTGCGTTTGGGACGCTCACTTGAGGGCCTTAGAGAAGAGATTCTATGAGGCAAACAAGTTGCGGGGGAGTGGTCCTATGCCTTCTGCTTCTTCCCTGCTTTGCAAACCCACAGGAGAAGCCGAAAACAACAAAACCAGCATTTAAGAGGTTAAAACGCCCCACTCCTCGGAGGTCCCAGCCCAAGCCCCTCCCCGAACGCCTCTCTCAGCTCCCCCAACATCTGTCCCCCAACAGCTGGCGGCCGCTGGGCTGCTCTCAGCCGCGGTGGGGGGCCGCTTCCCAGCTCTGAGCCTCCCCGGGGACCCTCGGGGTCCGGGGGAGGGGGTGGGATTCCCCCGCTGGAGTATGTGGTCGGAGCTTGGGTTCAAGGGGAAACGAGGAAGAGAAGCCGGCAGGCTTGCCCTAAGTCACTAGGGCCAAGTGGGGGACAGGAACCGTGGTGGGCGGCCCCCCTTCCCAGGCCCAGCCCCGGGCACTCTCTGAACCCCACCCCCATCAAGGCGAGGAGAGGTAGTTAACCCTTTACGCCCCACCCCCGTGGTCAGGGGGCAAGAGGGCTAAGGACCTTGTGACCTGAACCTCCAGTCACTGGGACTCTGAGAAGTTCACTCCTGCCTAAGTGCTCCCAGGGCCCACCCAGGGACAGTCAGTCGGAGCACAGAGGGAAGCCAGCCAGCCAGGGTAGGGAGTCTTAGGGCCAGCAGGGGTGGCTGGGTGGGTGTGGTCTTTACCATCCCACGGGCCCCACCTTGCAGAGGCGGCAAGTTGCTGAGTGTCTCAGCTACAGAAGAGTGCCAAATATTGAGACATAAGGATGGTAAGTCAGGCAGCCGTGAGGGTTATCCAAGTTCTGCCACTTATTAGCTGTGTGACCTCACCACTCAGGGCCTCTGATTCCCATCCTATAATGTAGGGATTATGACAATTACCTACTCACAGGGTGGATGGGAGGATTTAATGAGATAAATCAATGAGATGTAAAGGGTTAACACAGTTTTCAGCTTAGAGAAGCGCTCTGTACAGTCTTCTCCGGTCCTGTCCTCTTCCGCTCTCTCACTGGTGGGAAGCATTCTCCATTCTGTTGGGACATTGTCTCCCCCAGTCTACAATTGGTATGACACTTCAGGAGGGGAGGGGCCAGAGGGGCATTTCAGATCAGTCAACGTGGGGCAGCAGCCACAGGCCGGTGGGTGGGAGGAAGCTGTCTGATTGGTTTATTTTTAAAATAATATTTATTTGACTGCACCGGGTCCTAATTGCAGCATGTGGGATCTAGATCCCCGACCAGGGATCTAACCCAGGTCCCCTGCTTTAGAAGCATGGAGTCTTAGTCTCTTGACTACCAGAGAAGTCACCTGTCTGGGGTTTTGATTGTTGAGTCATGAATCCCCCAGAAAGGAACACTATCTTCCCATCCCACCCCCCAACACACACACACAGGACTCCCCCCCCCTCAACTTCTTGGAAGCAAATAGAAAGCAAAATGGTCTTAACCCAAAAAGTGAAGAAGTTAAAAGCATCACACATTTTCCTGATGGAAAAAAATTTTTTGTTTTTCTGCTAGGACTCAGGGAGTGAGGGGAGGTGGGAATCTGACTGAAGCCACAAGGGCTGGTGAAGTCCCTGTTTGGATGGTGAGTTGGAGAAACTGAGGCAGAGAGGTCCAGTGAATTCAGAGAGGGCACATAGTCAGTGGAAAGCCAATCTCCTCCAACAAAGCCAGGAGCAGCAATGGCCCTCCAGACTCTATCCCACCCAGGCACAGCCACCTGCCTCTTGCCCCGGTGAGCCTGGAGTGCTTTCCTAATGTCTAGCTTCCTGAGCCCCCAGTGCTACCAGCTCTGCCAAAGAAGATAGAAGTCTACAGACCAGTGTCAGGGAAGGGCAAGATAGCAGACAGAACCGAGAGGAAGCCCTTCCCTGGGGAATAAGACCAGAAGTCAGAGGACCTCGGAAGCTACCAGTGGGGTCTTGGCCACTTCCTCCCTCCCTGCATCCTGTTCAGAAATCTTGGCCTCTCTTTGGGGTGAGTGCTCCAGCCCATTTCCCATCAGACCCTTGATCTTGGGTTTCAGGAAACAGAGGGCCAGAGAATCTGAGTGCTAGGCCCTTCCCTGAGCACCAATCTGGAGAGGGGGCTCTGCCTTCCACACCACGGTGCTCTCTCCAGGAAGAGCTCACTTCCAGCAGCCACCCAGAGCCCGGGCTGCTGCTCAGAGCAGACAATAGTCCCTGCCTGGCGCTCCGCCTTTTTTCTTTCCCTTTTTGTGGGTTTCATTATTTTTGTTACAGGTGGGGCTGCCAGGGATGAGTTATGCCTGCAGGGAGACCTGGCTGGGGGAGAAATTATCAGAAAAGCCACAATTCTTCTCTCATCCCAGGGAATATGAGTCTTTATTTGCTCTATTTTCTTAACCAAAAATCTGTTTTAGTTTTGCTTTGGGGGCTATTGTCACTAGAAAAGGATTAGTGCTCAGAACCTGCAGGCCAGAAATGGCCCAGTCCCATTCTTGCTCCCCAAGCTGTCTGAGGAAATGCCACCAGGCGGGATGCCTCTGCCACCCTGCCAGTGGTGACACCCATAGCACCCACCCTTTAGGGAGCCTCTGCTGAGCCTTCCTCCCTTCACTGGCCTTCTTGACAGCTCAGAGAGATACCCTGGTGGGACACTGAGGGCAGAGAGATGCAGTGATTTGCCTGAGGTCACACAGTGATTCAGGGCTGGCCTCATGGAGTCTGGTCTCTGTGTCTCCATGATAGCTGGACATCTCCTGCTTTGTCCCACTACCGTGGGAAGGAAGGCAATGGAGGCTTTGAACAGTAGGGTCAAGATCTGAGCTTTGACTAATCCTTGAAGATCTAGGAAAGCACATCAGCCAAGGAGGCTTGGTCCAGCCTTGGGCATGAGCTGGGGCTGGAGAAGCAGCACAGACACATGGGCAAGTGGCTCACAGGGTGGCGGATCTGCTGCCCCAGGAGAACCAGCAGAGGTGGCCAGGCCTGCCTTACTCTGCGGGAAGACGCCTGCTGGGTTCCCCAGGCCGTCCTGGCCCACTGATGAACACACGGAGCCCTGAAAGGGCAGCTGGCTTGTTTCTTTACCAACTGGAGTCAGGCCTAGAGCAGGGACCCTAACCTCTGCTTCCTGCCCTGGCTAGCTAAGAGTCAGGACAGTGGAGGGGAGAGGTCACACTCTGGTTACACACCACACAATGACAGCCCTGCCCTCACATACACACAGGCTGCAGCCCATACCCACAAATCCACAGTCACTTCACGCCCTTGAGCCCTGGTAAGGAGAAATGCCCCTCAGAGGAAGGGTGTGTGGTGGGGTGGGTAGTGACGGGATTTCAACCTCTCACCTTCAGACCCCAGGCCAGAAGAAAGCTTGTCCTGACCAACTTGACAACACACACACCCACACACACGCACGCACGGTCTCAGCATTCACAGAGACACACACTCTCCACTCACACATGAACTGACAGACAAATGCTTGCTATAAAGGTACACCCACGCTGTCCACACGCCCCTTGCCCTCCTCAGTTGACACATTCACCCAGGCCACTGCACAGATCCGGACAGACAGACACACATGCATCCTCGTACTTGGAGTCCCAGGCCAGCTGGTAGAGCCGCCCTTGCCCATGTACACCCTAGCTGCACTTCCACTCACACCCATGCACCGATGGAGAAGAGTCCATTTTTCCAGCCAGGCTTCCTAAGGTGTCCTTAGAGCACCCCAGCCCCAAATGCTACAAGCCTCCCCCTAGATTCAAGGTCCTCTCTTTCCAAGTTCCCAGACACTCAAATCCAGGGGCCAGGGGAAGCAGCATTGCCTTACACAGCATCCCCTGACTTAAGAGGATCTTTCTGGGGCTGGGGTATTCCCAGGAAGGCTGCATCGGTGACCTCTCCCGAGGCAGGGATGGGAAGGATGTTGGAGGGATGGGGGCTGCTTTCTCCACTTCCTAAGAAAGCTCTTGGGAACAGGCGTCCTGCCCAGGAACCAATACCACTCCACTCTCTCTGGACTCTATAGACCCCAGTTCAGGCCTGCTTCACGCTTCCCCTAGGGACCGGGCCGGCAGTCGCTGCTCCTCTGACCTCGCCGTGACCTCGACACCATGACCCGGGCAGGGCAGAGCCAGGCGAGGTGAGGAGCCAGGCGCGCGCAAGCGGCGGAGAGGCGGCGGGAGGACCAGTTGGGCTGCTGTGGAGAGCTGCCGACGCGGCACCGCCGGGCGGAGGGCGCAGCCCAGGGTGATCCTACACCGGGGCCCTGGCTGTGGCGCCCCACTCCTCCTTCCTGTCCCGGCAGCCCAAAGTCAGAGCCTAGACCCAGGAGAGGCTGAAGCCGGGGCCGAAACGGCGACGGAGCTGGGACTAGAACCGGTGCCCGGGGCGCAGGCAGGATCCCAGACACGAAATCCTACACTCGAGCGATGCCGGGGTCTGAGTTGAGGCGGAGCCGGAGACCGAGGTCGGGGGTTAGATCGAAAGCTTGAACATGGGTTCGGATCCGAGACCCATGCGAGGCTAGTGCTTGAGGCCGAACCAGAGCTGAATCCAGCCTCGAACCCGGCCGGGGTAAGAGCCGGGACCAGAGCCGGGACAAGAGTCTGGAGCCCAGCTCAGGGTCCTGCCGGGTAGAGACGCCGGCTTTGCTGGAGTGGGAGTAGGGTTACAACCCAGGCCGGGGGCCTCGGAACTCGACCGACGCGCTGGGAGTCGGAACAGGAGCCTGAGGTTCAGGCAGGAACCGAGAGGGAGCCAGAGACGCGACCAAAACCGAGTGGGCCTCAGCAACCGGGGGCGGATCACCGGCCCGAACCTCTGCCAGCACCGGCGCGCGGCCTGGAGCTCCTGGTGCTTGCCTCTGAGAGCCGGTGGACTGGGCCCCCGCGCGGCTCGGCGCCGGGGCATTCGGGACGCGGGGGCCTCCGGAGGCAGAGACCGAGCGCAGCTGACAAACGGCCTCTGCGCGCCCCCGGCGACGCTGCTGGCCCTGCGGCGCAGCCTACCTGAAGTAGTCCATCTTGCAGAAGATTTCCTTGTTCTTGATGTAGCAGCTGTTCTGCTGCCTCAGCGACGTGCGACACACGGAGCACTCGAGGCAGCGCACGTGCCAGATGAGGTTGTTGACCTGGGGAGGGGGCGGAGATGGGGGGGGCGGCTGAGCGCGGACCTCTGCGCGCGCCCGGCTCCAGCCTCCCCGGCCCCCTTAGCAGACACAGGCGCCGGAGCTCTGAAGGAACATGTGACTTCCCCCACTTTTCTTCTGTAACATGGAGGCGCAGAGAGGTAGAAATCAACTCTGCCCATTTTTCAGACGGGAACCGGGGGGCGCAGAGAGACGCTGAGATCTGCCCGAAGCCGCTGGAGTCTGGCCGGGGCTGAGCAAGGATTCGAATTGAGGGGACCCGGCGCCGGCGTGGCTCCCCCTGCAGCCCTCGGGGTCACAACCCACACCCCGCCAACACACACGCAACACCCCGCCCCTGTCTCACCTTGAGCAGATAGCGGTCCAGGATCTCCAGGCCGCAGCTGGAGCAGATGTTCTTGCCGGCGGACGGCACGGAGGAGGCGGCAGAGGGAGGTGAGCAGACAGAAGGCGTGCTGGGCGTACAGGGAGAAGCCCGGCCCTCGTCCTTGTCCAGAGCGCCGGCCAGGGCCTCAGCGTCCGACTGAGCCTGCGGGGGGCGGAGAGCGAGAGCCGCACTCTGACATGCGGGCCGAGTCGGATGCCCAGCGTTGCTGCTGCCTCGGAGACAGACCCGGGCCTCAGCGAACCAACCGACAACGAAATCCCCCCCGAACGACAAGCCACGGGCTACAGGACAGGAATGGAAGGGCCTACTGGAGAGGAAAGGACGGCTCCAACTTTTAGCACGCGCGTCCTAGGTGCCAGGAGCGGTCAAAGCTCGCCTTCCCGGCCAGAAAACCGAGGCTCAGAGAGGGGCGGCGCCCTGCGGCAGTCCCCCAGCGCACGGGGCCGGAAAGCCGCGTTAGCTCCCCAGGGCCCGGCCGCCAGGGGACCGGGGACCGAAGGCAGGGCCGAACGAACTCACCATGGCGGGTGGCGCGGTCCCTTCAAGGCAGCGGGTGGTCGCTTTGCAGCCGGACCCTGGCTGGGCCATCACCTGGGGGAGGGGGGAGGGAACGCAAGCGGCGGCGGCTGCAGCACTGGCTCCGCGCAGCCTGAGCCCAGCGCCTCCCCGCGCCTGTTATATAAACCGGCGCGGAACAATGAGTCCTAACTTTGTAGTGGGCATTTAAAGCCCTTCCCCACAAAAGCGGTGTCTCTCTAATGAAGCAATTTGAATTTGGATTGGATTTTTTTCCCTCTCTCTCCCCCTCTCCCTGCACTTAACCCGTGGCTCTTGAAGTAATCGCTTAGTTCCCTTGCAATCCAAGCCTCTGAGGGGGAAAAAAAACACGCGCACACACACAAACTACCTGCAATTAGAAATTGTCGTGAATGCCCAAGATAAGAGGTAGCCAGAGTGTCAATTCCAACTGTCAATCAGTGAGATCCATCAGGCCGCCCAAAGAATTGCAAATTTGATTTTTTAATGGTAGTAATTAAAAATCGAATTTTTTCTCCCTCCACCCACCCCCCTTCCTCGCTCCCTTCTCCTGCTCTCGGCGCAAAATGCAAAAAGGAGAAAAGAGAGAAAGAAAATAAAAAAGAGACTGGGGAGGGGCGCTTGAGGAAAATAAAACCCTGAGCGCTGGGAGCATCAGCCCGTCCGCCTCGCGCGCGCGGCGAAATTGATGTGGCGATGCTGACGCGGACTCAGGCGCGTTCCGAGGGCCGGTCCGAGGGAAACCCAGAGTAAAACGGGGGCGAGATCGGGGACGAAACGGGGCCCAAAAGAGAAAAGGGAGGCGTCCAAGAAGAGGAAAGAGCACCCTCCAGCCCCTCGGATCTCCCGGGACCGGCTCCGCGCCGCGATTTTCAGCGTTGCGCCGGCACAACCCCCGGCGCATCGGCGCTATCAGCGCCTATTCAGACGGACAATACCCGCCTCGCCTCCTCTTGATTCGCCTGTGTCTTTGCTAAATCGCTTTTTGAGAAATTCCTCCAACATTTGCATAATGTGTTCCCGCTTTCCGCGACCCCCCCTCCTCGTGCTCGCGCGCGCTCACACACTCACAGACACACACTCCCAGGCGCACCCCCGCACCCCTCCTCCCAGCGGCCGCCCGGCCCGGCCCGGCCCGGCTGGGTCCCGGTCCCCGTCCGACCCCGGCCCGGGCGGCTCACCCACTCGCTCGCTCGCTCACCTGGTCGGTGGCGGGGCCGCCCTCGGCCGGCAGCCGGCAGCCCTCGGGCAGCGCCGGGGCGGCGTTCTCATGCTTCCAGTACATGGGCCGGGGAGCGGCGGGCTCGGCGGGCGCGCGGCTCGGAGAGCCGTGCCGAGAGGGGCCACGGCCGCAGTACGAGCAAAGGCTGAACCACGAGCAGGAGAAGAGCGGAGGCGCCGGCCCCGCCGCCCCGGGCCCGGCCCCAGCCCCCGCCCCCGGCCCGCGCGCAGCTCCGGCCTCCCTGGCTGCCGCCGCCGCTGCCTCGGAAGAAGGTCCCGACAAACTTGGAGAGGCCCCCGCCCCCTCCTCCTCCTCCTCCTCCTCCTCTCCCTCCTCCCGGTCCTCCTCCCCTTCCAGCTGCGGCGGCGGCCGCCCTGCCGCTGGAGCCCCGCTCGGTTCAAGATGAGTCATGCGTGACCAATCCCCTCCCCGCCAAGGGAGAGCGAGACACACACAGCGAGGCGGCGACCCAGAGACACACACACAGACCGACAGACACACAGAAACTCAGAACCGCCGACGGAGAGACTGAGGGACGCGCTGACATACAAAAGGCACCGCCAGGCGCACAGACTCCCAGCTCTCATCACCGCCCCCTCCGCCCCTTGACGGGGCACCCACGGCTCTCGGCCACAGCCCCACTTACAGGTACAAGAGGGACCCATGCTCACACCTTGGGCCGAGACGGGTTTCATATAAAGTCACACATCAGACTCTGTTGATGCAATCCCATGCCTGGCACGTTTGTGTACATGCTGATGCAAATGATTACCTGTTCGCCTCATTTACACGAGCACAAGGCATGCACACTTAACTCATACACCTGCACAGCTGGCTCTGCTCCATAACAAACAGAGGGCACACCAGTTCCTAAGGGCTTGGGCTACATCCCATCCTAAATAGGACTGGGTTGGGTGGGAGAGGTTGAGGGGGTGTTGCTCCCCTGAATTCTCCAGGGAGGGATTGCCTGAGACATCCCCCTCCCCTGCAGGATTTGCTGAGCTGAGTAGTCTAATGCCCATCTCACCTTCTCTAGGGGTCTACTGATAGTGAGAGAGGTGGGGGAGGCAAGGAGGCCCTGGCACTGAGAGAGGAGACACAGCCTCCAATGACCCAGACACAAAAGACTTAAAAACAGCCTTACACACATTAACATGCAGTGTACACACACATTAGGTGGACACTTACAGCCTTGGCCCCTTTCTCCATACACAAATTGAGCTCAGAGGGACATATAAATATACATCATCTTCTAAAAACAAATATGCACACTTAGATCCAGCCCTACAGGCACCACACACCCCACCTCCATGCAGTGGCACATACCATCACTTCCCTAATTGTCTTCATTTACAAATGTAAACACCCCACACAACTGTTCTTAGACGTGTACACACATCCATAGTTAAGAGGGCAGATTCTCACAGAGAGCTCCAAACCCATGTGACACCCCGTGTCCTCTACCCAGATACTCTCAGATATACACACATATCCTTACAGATGGTGAGATAACTATTTATAGTCAGAGACAGACCATACACCTCTGAAGACACAGGATTCCTGGTAGGCACAGCTTCAGTCATGCACTCACAGACACATCCTAATAGGCACAGGCAGATGCGGCATTTGCTCTCCAGGATAATACTACAGACTCACACCTCTTGTAGCCTCAAAAGAGACAAATATCTGTTCCTTTATACACACCAAGGTACACAGAAATGGCTCCAACCCCAGCCAATAGCATCTCCCACTTGCTGCGTTTTCAGCCATTTATTGCTCTCAGATACAGATATACAGAGTGGAAAGTTTCTATTTTGGACTGTAATCTTTTCTACTGAGAGTACAATTGTAGTGTGAAAGCTGGTGAGCTGTGTGCACAGGCACACACATATGCATGCACCCTCCAACATCCACCAGAGATGAACCAGAGATGACCAGAGATGAACAACCTCCTCCTCAACTATCTTCTTTTGAACATAATAAACCCAGCTGCTACTCCTCTGTACTTTAATCCAGGGCAGGCATTTTACAAACATGCTATTTTTTTTTCACAATAACCCCATTAGGTAGTGTCTTTTATTGTACTCATTTCATTGATGAAGAAACTGAGGTTCAGAGAGATCATGTGATATGTCCACACTGGTGCCACATGGCTAAAACTGCCAGGACCAAGAACTCAAAACCCAGATTCATCTGACATCAGAGTTTATATTCTTAATTTCTAGGCTACATACATGATCATGTCCACTCTATGCATATATGCACAGACACATACACACATGCGCACACATACACATACACACCTTTTCCATTTTATCCACCAAAAGCCCTGGATGTGATTCCTGGCGTCACCAGTTATGGGCTAAGCTTGCTTTGTCATCTGCAAAATGGGAATAATAATTGGGCAAACTTTGTCTCCTTCTCTTCCCTTTCTGGGCCGCTGTGGGAAGCAGAAGGTCATTGACTGTTATACAAAGCTGTACAAATGTGTGAGTGCAGAGGGACTCCGGGAAAGAAGAGGCCATGAGGATGGCACTAGCTCTTCAGGCAAGAGGTTGGGAGAGGTATGGAGGAGGCTTGAGCGAAAACGAAAAAATGAAAGGGTAGATGAAATATAAATGGATTCAGGGGAGAGAAGACAATATTCCAGGTAGAGGGATGAATGCTAAGACTCAGAGGCTAGACAAACAAGCTGTTGCAGTCCTAAGAAAAGGGATGTGAAACACATGCTCCTTGAGTGATAATATAATAACTACTGTTTATTGAGCATTTATGTGCCAAGCACTGTTTTACATGCATTATCCTCTTGACCCCTTGCAGCAACCCTGCATGGAGGTTATATTATTTATTTTGTAGTTGAGGAAACAAGCTTACAGGAGCCTCATTTCAGGCTCTAGCACTCAGACTCCAGAATTCAGACACTTACCTATTCTATAATTCTGAGATGGTGCTCAGAAAATCAAAACTGGAATAAGAGGCATTAAACTCAGAAGGGAAACACAAATACTCTAGAGTCAGACTGTCATGATGCCAATCTTGACCTTGCTCCTTATTACCTAAAGGACTCTGGACAAGTTATTCAGCCACTCTTCAGCCTCAGTTTCCTCATCCATAAAGTGGGGATGATAGCAGAGTCCACTTCTTATACTTGTGAAAATTAAGCAAACGATCCTTGCAAAAGTGTCAAAATCATGTCTGGCACACAGAAAGCAAACAATAAATAATAGCCATCATTAACTACAGTCCCTTGTAGCTCAGTCAGTAAAGAATCTGCCTGCAATGTAGGAGACCCCGGTTCAATTCCTGGGTCAGGAAGATCCCCTAGAGATGGAAATGGCAACCCACTCTAGTATTCTTGCCTGGAGAATCCCATGGACAGAGGAGCCTGGCAGGCTACAGTCCATGAGGTCGCAAAGAGTCGGACACAACTTAGTGACTAAATCACCACCATCATTAACTATGGACTGGCTGCATTTTCCAGTTGTTATTTTAATAGGTGCCACATCAAAAAAAAATTTTATGGAAAAAGGCAGAGTGTAAGTCAACCAAAGAATCAAATATTCTCCTGAATAACTGCAGAACCATTATTTCAACCCAGAGCTTGCCTGACTTCATAGAAGACAGAAATGAAATTAATTTGGAAGAGAAATCTCCTCCAACAACTGACTCCAGCAGCAAAGAGAGTCCGGATAGGACTGACCTTGGCAAAATCAGGATGAGCAAAGTCAGTAAATTCTATCAGGACCCTTAAGTCCTTCCTGTGGGAAACTGTGAGCAGGTCACTGAGCTTCTCTGAGCCACAGTTTCCTTACTTGCCAAAGGGGGATAACAGGATTTACCTCTCAGGATTTTAGTGACAATTAACCATATAATAAAGACGAATATTTCGAAAGTGTTTCCTCTATTCCTGGCCCTGTAGAAGCACCTTACATGTATAATGTTGTAAGTAGTCCTCATGTATAATGTCCTCAGCATCCTACATGTACACTGTAATAAGCATCTTAGGTGTATAATGAATTCTGCTTCTCACCTCAGTCCTTCTCCTGGTCACGAAACAGGATGTGGTCATCCCATCCCCAGGGGTGAGTTTTGCCGTCCTCCTCCACCTGAGTCATGGTCCAAGATTTGGGTTTAAAGAGAGACTTCATTAGTAACTGGATGATTCTGTGGGAGCGCCCCCAGCAGCGGTTCCGCCCCGCCGGGGAGTA